AGCATACTGGTGGTCCGAGGAGATTTCGGACCTCAGAAAGGCTGCTGTGAAGGCGAGGAGGAACGTCCTGAGGGCGAGACGTAGAGCCGGAACCTCGATAAGGGAGCTGGAGGCCCTACTGGACCTCAACAGGACTAAGAGGAGGGAACTCCGGGCCGCCATAAGAAAGGCGAAAAAGAAAGCCTGGGAGGAGTTAATTGAAACTCTCAATGAAGACCCGTGGGGGCGTCCATATAAGATTGTTATGAACAAACTCAACAAAGGGGCGGCCCCCACGGTCGAGGCGCTGTGCCCGGAGTTCCTGGGCGAGGTTGTCCGCGCGCTGTTCCCGGGAGAGGACGAAGAGGAGGAAGAGCGGGCCAACCGGGACATCGCGGAGCCCGAGTGGCAGGAGGGACCGGAGGTCTCTATGGAGGAGATGACGGCCGCCGCCAGGAAGCTGAAAGCCGGAAAGGCTCCTGGCCCGGACGGCATTCCTGGGACGGCCTGGAAGGTGGCGCTGGGGGAGCTCGCCGGAAGGCTCTGTGCGCTAATGAACGCATGCCTGAAGGCGGGCTCCTTCCCGGACCTGTGGAAGGAGGCTCGCCTGGTCCTCCTCCCCAAGGCGGGCAAGCCGCCGGACCTACCGGCCAGCTACAGGCCGATCTGTCTCCTAGACGAGGCGGGCAAGCTCTTTGAGAGAGTTATTACGTCCCGCCTCGTCCGGGGACTGGAGGCTGGAGGAGAAGTACGCGGACTGTGTGACCGTCAGTTCGGATTTAGACCGAACAGGTCAACAATAGACGCTATCGGGTGCGTCAAGGCGCACGCAGAAGAGGTAGTGGGGGAGGGAGGGGTAGTGTTGGCAGTGGCCTTGGATATATCCAATGCCTTCAACTCCCTCCCCCACAAAGCCATCAAGGTGGCTCTAGAGGAAATGGGGGTGCCCGTGTACCTCCGCAAGATTATAGCAAGTTACCTGGATGGTAGAACCATAGCCTGCGAAGATCGAGAGGGGGATCCCAGAAAATGGGACGCGGTGCGTGGCGTCCCGCAGGGTTCGGTCCTTGGACCGATCCTGTGGGACGTCGCATACGACAGGGTGTTGAGGACACCCATGCCCGCCGGCAGCATGATGGTCTGCTATGCAGATGATACACTCGTGCTTGCCGGCGGGAATGGGTGGCAGGACGCGGCCAATAACGCCAACATCGCCGTGGCGTGCGCGGTGAGAGCCATTGCAGCCCTGGGGATGAATGTGGCCGCGAAGAAGACGGAGGCAGTTTATATCCACGATGGAAAGAGGGGCGAGCCGCCTAACATGACCATCTCTGTCGATGGGACAAGTATACAAGTGGGCAAGGTCATAAAATACCTGGGCCTACGGATTGACGGGAGGTGGAAGTTCAAAGACCACCTTGCTGGGCTGGGGCCCAGGCTCGACGCGGCGGCAAACGCCCTGTCCAGGGTGATGCCCAACTTGGGGGGGCCGCATGGCAGAGTGAGGAAGCTGTACAGCAACGTTCCAAACTCCATTGCCCTCTACGGTGCCCCCATATGGGCAGACGCCCTGAAAAAGGAGAAGACGGCTGCGGCCGTCCTGCGCAAAACGCAGAGGAGAATGGCCATCAGGGTCATTCGGGGATACCGAACCGTGTCTAGGGCGGCGGCAACACTGATGGCGGGCATACCGCCTATAGAGCTGACCGCCAAGGTCCACGCGGCTATCTATAACAAGGTGGCCGAGGCCAAGAGGAGGGGAGATCCAGTAACCCCCAGGATCAGAAGGGCCATAGCCCTTCAGCTGAAGAGGGACATGAGGAAGGAGTGGCGGCAGTGGCTCGGGCGAGCAGATTGCGCGGGCCAGAGGACTGTGTCGGCCATCCTCCCTCAATTGGACGCATGGCTCGAGCGTCCTTGGGCCAGAGCTTCGTACCGGACGTCGCAGGTTCTCACCGGGCATGGTTGCTTCAATAGGTACCTGCGGCGGATCGGAAGAGAGGACACGTCCCGCTGTCACCATTGTGACAGCGCGGACGACTCAGCGCAGCACACGCTGGAGCACTGCCCGGCGTGGGCTGGGCAGAGGCGCGTCCTGAGGGACGCGATCGGCGATGACCTCGCCCTCCCGAAGGTGGGGGAAGCGATAGTGGAGGGCGAGGACAAGTGGAAGACGTTCTCGGCTTACTGCGAGTCAGTGATGCGTGAGAAAGAGAACGCGGAAAGGATACGTAGGGGGGAGGCAGATCCCTCCGGTTGCCAAGGAGCAGCAGCGGCCAGGAGAAGAAGGAGGAGGAGAGGAGTGGCCGCGCATCGAAGAGGCTGGTAGCCCGGTAGAGGGGGGTGGGATTCGCGGGACGGCTGTCCTTGCCCGTAAGGACGGGCAAGGACAGCCTGCTACCTCCCCCCCTCTCCCGAGAGCTAGGTAGGGAAGGACATCTCCTCCTGGCAAGTGGGGAGGGGCCGACCAAAAGTCGACAGAGAGGGGTGATCCCTCCGCAAGGCGTCCGGGGCCCGCCAACGAATAGGCCCGGGGTATCCCCTGCCCGTCGTAAGAGGCGACCAAAAGGGGAAAAGTCTGGGATAGCAGAGGGATCCCAAGGGGTGAGTCGGGAGCTGAGGACTCCCGGCTCACCAGCCCCCACCAACAACAAGGGGGCGCGGCGGGGGCCCGGTGGCACCCCCGTCGCGGCGCACGCAAAATGCGCAGGAAGAGCGCCCATGACAGAAGGGTGCGGTCCAATCCGGACCATAGAGGAACGCGCCAGTAACAGGCGCGTGGCGCCGAGCCGGCCGGAGTTATGCGATTGCTGTGCCCGGTCGGCTCAACATGGCGCAGAGAAGACCACCCCCGGTGCTTTTAGTGCGGTAGGCGTCTTCATTGCACGCTGGCCCCAGGTTGTCAATTGCCTGGGGTACAGGGAGACGAGTCCCACACACCCCTCCGTCTCTGTCCCAGCAGGGCGGGGGGACGGTCCATGAGGATTTCCACCGGGTCACCAAAAAAAAAGAGGTTTTTGGTTGTCTCCCCCTCGCGGTAGGCCACCTTGTCGTGGTGAGGGGGCTTGTAGGCGAGCGTCTGTCTGGAAGCCGCTGAGTGCCGTTTTAGGCATCGGCGGTTTCCGAGACGGGCGCTCGCCGACTAAGAGCCTACCCTTCCCCTGAAAAGGGGAAGCAGGGAGCCCGGCGACTCCGGTCTCGGCACTGCCCTCCCCTTTGAGAGGACAGGGTCGAGACCACTCGCTGGTAGGGGATGAGGTACCCCGACTTCAAACCTCCGGCTTCCGGGGCCGATAGGGGGGAGCTTGCTCCACCCACCGGACCGGGTCGTCTCCTCCCTGATCCCATTACACGCCGGTGTTCCGGCAGGGATCGGGGGGAACTCGGACGAGAGGGCAGGAATCCCAGCTGCCATTGCACGCCGGTGCTCCGGCAGGCGGCTGGGATTCGGGGGGAGGCCACCGTCTCCATTGCACGCCGGTGTTCCGGCAGGAGGCGGTGGCAAGGGGAAGCTCCTCCGTCAACGAGCTCGTCGTGGACTTGCTCGCGTGCGGAGGAGAGCCGGACCCCGTAGGCACTACAGGACGTGGTCCTGGCCGAAAGGTGGGCCGGAAGTTACGGCTTCCCGGCGGTTGGACTGGACATGGTCCGGTCCCTCCGGCGGGAAGAGGCAGACCCTGGGCTGGTCACCCGGGTGGGTTGCCAGACAGACGGGGATCGGGGCCGCTCGGACGTATCCGAGGCGAGGCCCGATCGCCTGGGGACCGCCGGGGCCGCTGGGACTTATTCCCAGGCGGGGCCCGGTGGTCCGAGGAGTTGGTCGGCAAGCCTGCCGGCCAACACCCGATCCTCCGTGACGAAGCGGTCAGTCCCTGCGTCTGGGGCCGACGTCCCGCTGCTGGGGCGTGCGGCCTGGCGCACGGGGCTGGTCGTGGAAGGCGGAGGATCGGTCGTGTGCGTGTGCGTGTGTTTGGGACGCGGTCGGCTGCCGGTGGATATTTCCCTGAGACTAACCAAGGGGGGAGTAGTAAACCCCCCCGACCGGGGACGAGTGGTGACGTCTGTACCTGACCTCTGCCATGGACTACGCGGGACCGTAAGCCCAGTTTACTGGCAAAGTCCGCAGGAAGTGGCATGTTTAATGTGGAAAAACCGCTCCCGTTCGTCTGACTGGAGCCTATCAGGGCGTTGAAGCCGGCAGTCCGGGCGCGTGTATGGAGGGGCGGCGAGCCACCGTCCCCTCGTACCCGTACTGAGGGGGAAGTTCCTCGGTGAACTCTAGCCCGGGGGCGAGGTAAGCGGCCGATCGGATCGGTGCGCGCCTCGCTCCTGGGGTGAGTATAAAACTATAGCATCAGAGTGGGCCTGGCCGTCTCCAGGAATATTTCTATAGTAGAGTCATTGGCCGGGATAGGGTGTGGCTCCCCCGACAAGCGGCCTCTCCGCTTCCCGGCCCGTAACTAGGGCCTTTCTTACCGGGGGAAGATCCTCCACTGCGGTGGAGGTGCCATGATGGTCGAACCCGAGGAAAAAATTAACTGCCGCTATGTCTCCCACAACCAAAACCAGAAATAAAACCAAGGAGAACGAGAAGGCTGCACAGACGGGTGCACACGAGAGTGACAAGATGAAGGTCCTACTGACGAGAGTGAACGCCCCTTCAACATCGACGGGGAAACAAACTGCGGGACCTGTCAGCTTCAAAATCCAGCAAGCTGAAAAGGCTAAGCGACTCGCCAATAAAGCGATGGAAACAGTGTCTGGGCAGGGCAACTTTGAACTGTCAAGCTCAGACACTGAAATAGAGATAAACATCGAGGAGATGGACCCTGAACCAAGGGGAAGGGGCAGGCCCCCGACCACGGGAAAGCACCATGATGAGGGAGAAACTCGAGGCCAAAAGAGAAATAAAGCGCCTTAGAGCGCAACAAAAAGCTCTCAGCGAAGTTCTCGATCGCAATGTAGTCCCGGTCTTCAGAGACAGGAGAGGCATCACCCCAGAAAGGGAGACGATCAAGAGGATGTCCACAATGTCAGCGGAACAAATATCTGCCGAGCTGACGACGTGTGTAGATGTCGTGGAGAAGGTTGCCGATAATTCAAAAAATCTTAAAGGCACCTTCGTCCGGGAACTACGTAGATCCACGCGCAAGATAAGGGCCGCAACGGCAGCCCTAATGGGGAGACACGTGAACACGGATCCAATAGAGGAATCCAGCGACAGGATGGAGAGGATGAGGGAACGCATAAAGGAGCTGGAGAAGCAGGTGGCCGACCTCACCAGGACGCGTCAACAGACGAGGGAAGAGGAACCAAAGCTTCACGAGAGGACACTAAGGAAGAGGAAATACCGCAGAGTAGCGGAAACCTCTGACGAAGAGGAACAAGAACCCCCTCGAGCAAGTGCCATGAGCCGGGAAAACGACCAGAACATGGCCGAAAACGACCAGTACGTGGCTGAGGAGGCGGCTTCACAACGGGACGAAAACTACCCCCCGTTGGCGCTCAGACCGTCGATCAGAGGAGAGAGAAAGGTGATAGAGGAATCGCCAGAAGAAAGGGCGCTAGAGGAGGTACGCAGGGTGATGGAGAACATCTCCCTGGAGAGCCTCTTCACGGGAGATGCGAAAAGCGTCAGGGAGAATCTAGACTCCCTAATAATCCGGTGCGTGGGAGCCAGAGCAATCCTCCCGAAGAAACGAGGAACCGAGACGGCAGCGACCAAGGCCCGATCAGTCGCAGAAGCAGAGACCAAGGCCCAACCCGCCATCACTAAAGCGGAAGCAAGGCACCCGCAAAAAAGGAGACGGCTACCTAAAAGGCGCCAGCGAACCAGGGACAGAACAAGCCCGACGCTAGGCAAGAGAGGAAGGCTGCTCAACAGAAGCAGCAACCCACTGGAATCCAGGCGAACAAGCCAGTGGTACAGAGGCCGACGACGCAGCAACAACAGCAGCGGCAACAGCAACCCCAGAACACCTGGGTAGAGGTTGTAAAGAGGGGCCTCAAGAGCAAGGCCGCCACTGCTGAGCAACAAAAAGCCCAACAGAAAGGCGCAACCAAGAGCCAGGACCTAGCCCAACAGAAGGGAAAGGGCAGGGGAACTGAAGCTCCACAAAAGGGGAATCAGCCTCCTCGTAAGGCGGATAAAAGGAGAAACCCGAGGACGCAAGCGGTAGTCCTCACATTCCCTCCTGGACTTTATGCAGAGGGGCTGAGGAAGATTAGGTCGCAGGTGAAGCTGGAGGACCTGGGCATCGAGGGACTCCGACCTAGGAGGGCTCTCACTGGGGCACTCATACTCGAGATCCCAGGCGAGAATGCCAAAGAGAAGGCGGACCAACTCACCGAAAGGATAAAAGGTGTAGTCGGGGACGCGGAGGGAATTAGGGTTACCCGCCCCACAAAACTCACCGAGATCCGAATCAAGGATCTCGACGATTCGGTCACCCAAGAGGAAGTGCGCGAAGCAGTGGTGAGGGCGGGTGAATGCTCACCACAGGACGTAAAAATAGGCCAGCTGAGGACTGCACCCAACGGCCTATGCACCGTGTGGGCACAATGCCCGTTTGCAACGGCGAAGAGGGTAGCGGCATCCGGAAGACTGAGGATCGGATGGATGTCCGCTAGAGTCGACCTGCTGGACGCGCGACCGCTCGTGTGCTATAGGTGCCTCGAGCGGGGACACGTGCGCCAGCAGTGTCGCAGTAAAGTAGATAGGAGCTCTACATGCTATAGGTGTGGAGGTGAGGGGCATAAGGCACAAAACTGCAATACAGAGCCCAAATGCCCCGTGTGTATGGAAAAGGGACTCCCGGCGAAACACAAAGCCGGGGGGAAAGCGTGTAAGCTGCCCTCCAAAGGGGAAGTCAGGCGACGACGCAAGGAGGACTCAGGCCAGCAAGGAACGGGCGGACGCCCAGCCCCAAACACGGCAGTGAGAACTCCCACCGAGGAGGCCATGGAGGTCGAGACGACCCCCGTGCAGGCGACCCAGAAGACGCCGGAGGTTAGAGGCTCGGAGGAAGCCGGCGAACCGGCGCCTTCACGCCTCTAAGGATAATCCAGGCAAACGTAAACCACGCCCGCCAGGCACATGACCTGCTATTGCAGGCCATGGCGGAGCGTGGTTGCGGCCTAGGGATAGTGGTGGAACCACTCCGGGTACCGGACCACTCCTGCTGGGCAGGCAGCACCGATGGATCAGTGGCAATCCACTGGCGCCGCACAGGGGAGAGGCACACCCCGTGCACTAGAGGAAGGAAAGGTGAAGGCTGGGTAACGGTGGAGTGGGGCCCCATCACTGTGATGGGGGTCTACCTACGGCCCAGCCTCACCCGGGCGGAGCTGGAGGACCGCCTGGAGGAAATGGAGACCCAAATTAGAGGGATCCTCCCGAAGCCTCTACTGGTCGCCGGGGATTTTAACGCTGCATCGGCGCTTTGGGGTTCCCGGCGGCCGAACGTGAAGGGCGCAGAAGTGGAGGACTGGGCAGCTCGCCTGGGCCTCCACTTGGAGAACAAGGGCACGACCAGTACGTGCGTCAGACCGCAGGGGGAGTCTATCGTCGACTTGACGTGGACCTCCCCTGCGGCCGCGAGAATGATTGAGGCATGGGGGGTGGCGGAAGAATTGGAAATTCTGTCGGACCACCTCCCCATCGTAATCGACCTTGCATCGCCAGAGGGCGGAGCAAGGGGGGCGCAGACCGGAGACCGCGCAGATGGGCCACACGCAAATTGGACCCAGACAGGTTGACGGCGTCCCTGATCGTGGAGACATGGTCGACGGTGCAACCGGAGGAGGGGATAGACGACCAAGTCAGGTGGCTAAGGGCAGCCATGACAAGGGCCTGCGATGCGGCGATGCCGAGGGCCACCTTTGTGCCGCGTAAGGCGGCATACTGGTGGTCCGAGGAGATTGAGCTGCTAAGGAGCGCCACTGTCAGGGCCAGGAGGAACGTGCAGCGGGCAAGACGCAGGGCTGGGACCCTCCAGGATTCACTGGACAATCTGCTCGAGGAGTACAGGACGGAGAGGAAAGCCCTGAAGATCGCCATCAGACGGGCAAAAGAAGCGGCATGGGATGAACTCATTGCGTCGCTGGACGAGGACCCGTGGGGGCGCCCCTACAAACTTGTCATGAACAAGCTTAACAAAGGGGCGCCCCCCACGGTAGAGACGCTCGACCCGTGCTTTCTGGGGGAGGTGGTGAACACACTCTTCCCGGGGAACAACGGGGACAGGAGGAGGAAGTCCCACAGACAGCCGCTGTCAACGCGGAATGGGACGAGGCTTTTCAGGTCACCGACATCGAACTGACAAAGGCGGCCAAAAAGCTCAAAGACGGCAAAGCGCCAGGCCCAGACGGCATACCAGCGCTGGCCTGGAAGGTGGCGATGGGCGAGCTGGCCGAAAGGCTGGGAAGTGTCATGAATGCGTGCCTGCAAAAAGGATACTTCCCAGACCTGTGGAAGGAAGCACGACTAGTGCTGATCCCAAAGGAGAGGAAGCCTGAGGACGCGCCCTCGAGCTATCGACCGATATGTCTCCTGGACGAGGCCGGGAAGATGTTCGAACGCATCATTACATCCCGCCTCGTCCGGAGCACAGAGGGAGAGGTAGGAGGGGGCCTACATGCGAGGCAGTTCGGTTTCCGCGAGGGCCGTTCAACAATCGACGCCATCAGCTGCGTGAAGGCCCACGCCGAAGAAGTGATGGCGGAGGGGGGAGTGGTGCTCGCGGTGGCGTTAGACATTGCAAATGCATTTAACTCCCTCCCCCACGCGGCCATCAGGAAGGCGCTGACGGATCTCGAAGTCCCGGGATATCTGAGGAACATCGTCAACGATTACCTCTCCGGGCGATGTATATCCTGCGAGGATAAAGAGGGGGCAGAGAGAAGGTGGGATGCGGGGTGCGGCGTCCCGCAGGGCTCGGTGCTTGGACCGGTCCTGTGGGACGCCGCCTACGACAGCGTCCTGCGAACGGCCCTCCCCTCGGAGGCAATGCTAGTGTGTTATGCCGATGATACACTGGTGCTTGCCGGGGGGGGGGAGCTGGGAGGAGGCTGCGACCACCGCAAATATAGCGGTGGCGTGCGCGGTGAACGCGATCCGTGGGCTGGGTCTCAGGGTGGCGGCCAAGAAGACCGAAGCAGTCTTCATGCACAATGGGACACATGGGCCGCCCCCTGAGAAATGTATAACAGTGGATGGTACGCGCGTCAAGATAGGGTCCCAGATTAAATATCTGGGACTTCAGATCGACGGACGCTGGAGGTTTGGGGAACACGTCCTCAAGTTGGCACCCAGGTTGGAGGCGACAGCAAACGCCCTGTCGCGGCTGATGCCCAACCGGAGGGGACCAAGTGGACGCACGAGGCGCCTGTATGCAAATGTTGCGCACTCAATCGCGCTATACGGGGCCCCAATATGGTCCGAGACCATAAGTAAGGACAGGAAGGCGCAAGCAATCCTGCAGAAGACACAGCGCAGGATGGCTGTGAGGGTTATCCGCAGCTACAGGACAGTGTCCCACGCAGCGGCCACACTGCTCGCCGGCATGCCCCCAATAACACTGTTGGCGGAGGCATACACTTGGGCCTACAGAAGAGTAACCGAACTCAAGGCACGAGGAGTCCCGGTTACCGGGAAAATGAGGAGAGCCATAAACCTCCAGGCGAGGAAACAGGCCAGAGCCAAATGGAAGACAAACTGGCTGAACCAAACTGCCCAGGACAACGGACAGTCCGAGCCATTCTCCCGCGGATGGAAGAGTGGCTCGATCGTGCATGGGCGAGAGCGTCCTACAGGACGTCGCAGGTACTTACCGGACATGGATGTTTCGGTGAGTACCTGCATAGGATCGGCAAGGAGGACTTGCCACGGTGTCACCACTGCGAGGAGACAGCGGACACAGCGCAACATACGCTGGAGTCATGCCCAGCCTGGGAGGCGCAGCGCCGGGACCTCAGGCTGCACATCGGAGCGGACCTCTCACTGCCAGCAGTGGTGCACGCCATAACGGAGCGAGAGGAGGCGTGGACCGAGTTCTCCTCCTTCTGTGAACGTATTATGTCACAGAAGGAGGAGGCAGAGCGGATAAGGAGGGGGGAGTGCGACCCCCTACAGGACGCACAGGGAAATGGGCGCAGAAGGAGGAGAGCGAGAGGGCGCCCAGCCCACCTAAGAACGTGGTGAGGACGAGGGAAGGCGAACGGGGGGTGGCAGACCGTAACGGTTAGCTGTTAATACCCCCCCCCCCGCCGCAGCAGAACAGAGGAGGAAGAACCGGCAAGAAAGCCGATACCGAGGAGAACCGGTCCTAGGAGGCGTACGGGTGCCGCTTGCGAATAGCCCCGGGGTAGCCCCTGCCTGTCGTAAGAGGCGACTAAAAGGGGAGGAGAAGAAGCAAGGTCCAGGACCGGACGGGGGTGGGCACGGGCTGGAGACCCGTGACCCACCCGCCCCCACAAACATCTAGGGGGCGCGGCGAGGGGCCTGGTGGCACCCCCGCCGCGAAGATAGGAGGAAAGTAGGCCCTTTTAAGGGCCTGGGCCCAAAGGTCAGGGCCAGAGATGTGCGCGAAGCTACGCGCGGCGCGGGGTCACCCGGCAGTTATGCGATGCAGTCCCCGGGTGGCCCCAGAAAGCGCAGAGAAGTCCACCCCCGGTGGTTTTAGTGCGGTAGGCGTCTCCATTGCACTACTGGCCCTTGGGTTGTCAATTGCCCAGGGGTCAGGGAGACGAGTCCCACACACCACCTGTCCCTCTCTCCAGGGGGGGCGGGTGACGGTCCATGAGGATTTCCACCGGGT